TTGTAAAAGAAATATACCCTATATATATATATATATATATATATATATATATATATATATAGAGGGAGAGAGAGAGAGAGAGAGAGAGAGATTGTTTCAAATGCAACCCATCACATTTATACAACCAATGCAACCCATCATATTTGTACAACCAATGCAACCCATCATATTTGTACAACCAATACAACCCAATAAATTGAAATATTTATGAAAATGATGAGAATTCATTTATTATGATTTAAATATTTATGTAAGATAAATAAGGTTCATTAATTATAATCAATATTTTATATTAGGAAACAATCAAAATTCTATGAAATTACATATTTATTAAATTAAATGGACGGTTGCGATTGAGTTGTATTGGTTGTACAAATGTAGGGAGTTGTATAATAACCCACATCTCTCTTTCTATATATATATATATATATATATATATATATATATATATATATATATATATATTAAATTAAGAACAATTAATATACTAATATGAACTAAAATAAAGAAAGAGCACATGTTTAATTTTAAATTAAAACAAAGAATAAAAAATTGATCATAATAGTCATGGAGTTCTAGAAAGGGAAACCTTCGTTACAGGGTCGTTCAAAATTCTGATAACAGCGTTAACCCATCCAACTCAACCTGCAAGTAACCCAATTAAATTCAACCGTGAAACTGTCAACCCATGAATTAATTGGGTTAAGCACAATCCAGTCGCTGCTAATATATATATATATAGACTTGGGATCATGTGAGACCAGCCTGTTTTCGTGAGACCCGTGAGACCAACATTTTACACTTGAAACTTCACAGCAAAATGCTGTGAAGGTGACTTTTTAAAACCTTCACAGTGTTTTTGCCGTGAAGTTTCGACTTTTTTTAAACCTTTATAATATATATATATATTATAAAGTAGGGAGTGACTGAATCTTAATCGCTTAACCCCTAGACCTGTAATAATATATAAATTATATACAAGCTGTATAGCAAACAAATTCAAAACAATCATCTGTTGGTTGGTGATGTGATGTATTCTCTTTAATTCAGAACTTTTGAATTTTAATTGTAATATTTAAACAACTAAACATATATTTAGATAACTGTAATATTTTAGTCCCACAAGATTCTAATAATATATCTCTTCTTTTCTTCCAAAGAATTTATGTATAGTTTAATATATATAACCTGCCAACCCAACCTGTTAAAGGTTGGGTTGGTTATCCTTTTTATCAGGTTGGGCTCGGCTGAGATTTTTCTAAATCCCTGTAATTTGGTTGGGTTGTTTAAAAGCCGTAAACTGTTCAACCCGACCCATGTACACCCCTACTTGATTGTCCAACAAGCTCATCACCCATCTGCATTCCACAACCAAACCCTGTACATGAAAGATGAAAGCATTCTAGCATCTGAGTAGAGATGCACAAAGCCCAGTCGGGCTTTTAGGCCGGGCCTGGGCTTTTTTAGGCTAGGCTTGGGCAAGACCCGGGCTTCGGGCTTTTTATGCATCAGACTCTCTGACCATCATTTTACAATTCTAGCATCTCAACTGTTAAGGTTCCATTATTTGTTGGATATGTACCCACCACCCACCACTCACACCCACCCATCTCTCTTTGGATAGTGCACTAAAGATGAGAGGGATGTATGTATTGCTTAAAAGTTCACTAAACATGATTGCAAAAAGTACTTCATTTTCACTCAAAGTGTCTGTTTTCTCCACTGTAAAATAAACATGCCAACACTGCTCAGTTTTCAACCCCCCCCCCCATGGGCTTGCTTGCATTTGTATCTATAACATATATCTATACATTTAACAGGATCAAGAAGACAAACAAGTATGGCATGTTTCGAGAGGGCGTCGCCAGCACTGAAGCAGATTCTGCTCCAACTCTATCGGTAATATCTGCATCCCAATAAAAAACAAGTTCTTCAATATACATTTTCTTGAACCCGTCAAGAAACTTAGATGAAGTTTAATATCATGAATTCATCATCAGTGGTTGCTCCAATTAGCATCATAATTACATTCAAATCCCCCCAATTTATTACATCTGTATGGGTTAAGTTTAATTGTTGTTTGTTTATTGTGCTAAATAAGCTGTCTGAATGATATAAATGACCATATTACCTTGGATTAAGTTAAACGCTGAACTAAACATAGGGCTAGATACCTTTTGGCTGTTTGGCAGACAATTCTAAGTGTCTTCCATGTAGATTTTCCAGCCATGGAGGTGCGCCCGTATTCAGATAGCTTTCTAATGTCACCAAAAGCGCCCACAAAGTGGATGATCTGTCAGCAATCTGTTCAAGAATTCATCAAGATTCTTTTAATTGAATGAAAATGAAATACCCAAAAAGAAGTTTAAGAAACTTAGGTCTCTACTATTAGTTCCACAAAGATTAGAAAGAAAATATGGAATTGCTTGTTTTTCTTGAAAATGGCTGATCCCATGGCAAGCCACGACTGTAGGCTTCGCTCATAACCCTGAGGTCAATCTCCCAATGGCCACAAGGCATATGTAGATGGCAGGATTCGAACCCGGGTTGAGTTTATCATCCCCTTATCTTTATTTACCGCACTACCACCCTTGTTGTTGACACTTGGTTTTTTCATGGCAGCGCTGATAAGCCTTTGGCAATCGAACACCATTTGCATGAATTCGGATCTTTGCAATACCACATTCAGGTAAACTAAAAAAAATACATAAATGTCAAAGGGAGTACAGTACCTTCTAACAGGGGTTATTTAGAAGAATAATCTTCTGACAGATTTAAGAACGCCTATGCCTGCCAGACAGTTGAATGTCTCAAAATCTGTCAGAAGGTCATGCATTTAAAAAAAATTGTCAGAAGGTTATTCTCCTAAATAACACCTTAAAAAAGATGGGAACTTTTAAAATTGAATGACTGTTCTGATTCATCTAAGATGAGGTTTTTATCAGTCGTATGCTTCAGAACCACATCATGCCTACCTGTCTATCTCAACCCCTCTTCTATCCACGGGATCCTCAATCTCAACCGGACTTCCTCATTACACCATCGAGACCGTGAAGAGAATTTCTCAAGAAGTTGTCGAGATAGTTGAACCAGCAAGATTAGGATATCAGCTAACTCTAAAGCTCAACTTTGCTAAAATTCCACGGAAGAAAGGTAAATTATGCTTCAAACGGCCTTCTTGATCTAGCAAATATGTCATGGTAAAAAGAGTTTCACTGCTCATTTTTGTGATGTAGATGCAGTAAAAATAATAACAGAGATTTCATCGGTGCAAGCTGTAATTCTGAGCTCTCAGCTAAGAGAAATATTGAGGAACGTTAACACTCAGGAGATATCTCAGGGGAATTACAAACCAATTAAACTTGTCTATCATCCTAGGGAGCCTTTCTATGTTGTTAAACAGGTAATCTGTCATAAGGTCATGCATTTAAAAAAAATACGTCAGAAGGTCATGCGTTTAAAAAATATGTCAGAAGGTTATTCATCTTATAACTTGTTCGTTCAACATGCCACATGGCATATTCTAAGAGGATTTGATTCGTGTGTTTGTCAGCCAGCAAAGCTGACTGCAGTTTTCCCAATTCGCTTTAAAGAGGATTCAGAGGTGGTTATCGCAAAGGCCTTCTTTCAGGTTTGAATTCTGTTGGTTACTATTGCTATTTGTGTCTTTATTTCGGGTTTGAATTCATCAACCAACTCAACTGATGTCTCTTTTTGTGCTTCATTTGACAGGAGCTTGTGGATGTTGGAAGCTCAGGAGCGTGTGCTAGGGCACCTCCTTGCTACTGGTCGCCTATTCCACCTCCCGAGTTAAGAGGAGAATCTATGGAAGATTTGAGCACTAATGGAGGGTTTGTCTCATTTGGTATCAACCAAACTCGATGTTTGATATTCTTCGTGAATATATACATATATATAGTGTGTATATATATAGGGGCAAGTTCCGTTAGGAACCTAAAATTGATTAAGAACCCTGGAACCGCCCACAGTGCAACACATGACTTATTCATCAGGAAGGTGGACGTGTTATTCATTATGAATGTTGTAACATATTCATCTTCAATGTGATTCATGGTGAATAACACGTCCATATTCATCATGAATGTGTGATTCATGATGAATATTTATTTTGAAGAGATACATGGGGCGTTGTGAACGGTTCACGGGTTCCTAATCTATTTTGGATTCCTAAAGGAACTCCCTCCCCCCCTTATATAACAAGTGGGACATGTTGAAAGTTCAAACCGTAAATGTAATGAGAACCTAGGAACCAACTATTCGTGAATTACTGATTATGAATATTGTGATAGATATTCATGGTTGAATATGAATATCATGAATAATGAAAATGCATGATATTCATAATGAATATTCATGAATATATTAGGGTTATTCATCATGAAATAGTTGGGTTTCCATGTTCTCAAAATATTTACTGTTCTCATTTGAACCTACCCCTATCACAAGAAAAGATAGTTGGCATTCACAAAAGCATCCTTCAACCTATGAAATTTTCTGTACATTGGGGTTAATAATGACAGAAATATCCCCGCGACACGTTGAAGGCAAGAAACTAGACAAGACCGTATGGAACCTGCTCAACTTCAATGCATTAGTAAAATATCATGTAAAGGTAACATCCGAGCTGACACGAAATAGAGATCAAATTTACCAATTTGAAAATCTTAACAATCATTTTGATTCTCTAACAGTGCACCAAAGGCTTTGTGCAACGAAGGATGAGAAGCCGTTTGGAAAGCTTGGTTGAGGTAAAGAAGCCTGGATTATGAATCAAAAATAGGTTCTTGCTAATTATAATCTTTCAACGCAGTTTCTCATCAGATTGTTGCAAATTACAGGCCCTGCAGCAACCATTCATGGAAGAAGATCACCAAATCAAGAAAGTCAAAGGTATGCCAGCAAGTACATACATACATACATAGATACATATATATCTATATATATATTAACAAATTGTTCAACCAATCATCTCTAGTTCTACATAACCTACTAAAAGATCAAACCATCCGATATTATATCTGAATCTTGATGCAGGACGTAGAGGCGTAAAGAAACTGTTAAAATTTACAAGATGTACCATACTCCTGAGAAGATGGAACTTGGCAAAAAAGATGAAGATGATTCGTTCCAGAATAAGAATCCACGGATTCGGTAAGTTTCAAAAACGGTGGTTGACACTTCCGAGTTTCGCGTCTGTAAAGAGCTATCAGAAGTTGGACAAATCTTGTTCTTTTCGTTCATCTTAGAGAAACAAAATGTCTGATTGCAGCAACATTTGTAAGCATAATGATATCAAGAAGACAAGAACTAATACATCAAACAGCACTCTTATAAGAATCAAATTAATAAGACAACTTCCCTATTCAGCTTAAGGGGCTGTGCAAATTTCTCAACAATAACTATTGTGGAACCCCATATTAATCTCCATAAGAGCCATTGAGGAGAAAATTAGGGTTTCAACATATATCGAGTAGAATTGATCCAATTCGATTTGAGAATCCAAAATCCCCCCTCCACAGGCTCAAATTGTCCCCAAATGTCAAGCAGATAATCTCCAAAAGAGTAATCTGAATAGGGTTTCACATGGTATCAACACTTGGGGACAATCTGTACTCATCTAGACTCTGTTAGAGTAATGTAATGGGTTCCTCGTGTTCTGATAACTATGAATATACATGATCTAAGTGGTTCTCGAGAAAATTGAATCTGATACTCGTTTAGTGAGCAAATTTCTCACAGATATATTGAAACAAACAATGATTAATCGCAAGTATCTTAAGAGATTGCAGATGAGGAGTCTTACTGCTTTTACACAGGTTGGCTCTCAATCTTGTTCCGAATTTTACTTAGAAATCAAGCGCTCCGACGCTCTGCCACTGCGATGGGGTCAGTAAATTCTTTGATTGCTATCAAAATGAGTAAAGATAAATTGCAGCAAAGATTGAAATAATCTTTTAAAAACAATTTTTAATACACAAACAAACTATGTACAAAATCTTAAAAATAACTTATAATAAATTAAATACTATTAGTTGTGTACTCGTGCAATGCGACGAGAACCACAAATTTTAACGATTTTGAAGTTTCATTGGTTTTATAAGATAAGATTTAACGATGATATAAGTTACACTTGGTCTTTACATATTAATACAATTTGAATAAATAAGAGTTATAGTTCCAATTACAGACTATCAATGAAAAAATTGTATGTCAGTTTAAAATCCAGTATATTTAAAATCCAACATATTTAAACGACTCCATAAATGTATTCGATTTACACCAAGAGCAAAGAACCAATAAATTTGAGTTTTAAGATAAACACTCAAAACCAATAAAGAAAACTACAAATTTGACAGATCATAAGTCATGAAAAGACAAAAAATGATGGGTTTTAAAATGAAATTTCAACTGCTTACCCTCTTTCTTGTCCAGAAACTCAGATTAAGGTTGAATTAATACATGTGTATATATATATATTTCAAAAAAACCCAAGAACATATTAATTCACAACATATTATACAGTGCAATTTGGACAGCCTAACCCCAAAATATATAGTATATATATAAATAAATAACTATAAAAGTATAAATCGTAAATATTAAAAATATTTTTTCACAGTATATATAATATATAATAATATAATTAAGTCAAAAACTATTCAATATTGGACTCATTTCGAAGGTATTAACAAGACGATTATAATGGTGTAACTTGTTAAAATAAAGATGTATTTTTTAAACATGTTTTAATTGATATACAATTATGTATGCTAATTTGATAAAAGTTTAAAATGAAACATTTAAAAGTAAATGACGTAAAGTAAATTAATTAATTAATTATAGGGATATAAAGTGTAAATTTAAAATTAAGATTTTAAAAAAATAGGTTGTGAGAGGGTGAATGTATATGAGGGGGTGAGTATATGTGAGGAGAGGAGGGTGTGAAAAAATGAAAAAGTGAGTATAAAGGGTATTTTGGTCATTTAGAATTTTAAGACTTTAAGATTTTTGTTAAATTTGATTAATAAAATAGTATAGATTATATTTAATCTTAAAATTTTTAATCTATAATTAAAATAATATATAGTACAAGTTACCAATGCACGTTATTAATTTTTTTTCTCATGTTTCCAAGAAACTTTTGATACATTTCACTCATGTTTTCACCCTCTCACACCTTCATGTTTTCTCCCCATCCCCAATGTGAGATTCAAACTGATATTCATCATGAGTTATTAAAAGTTCTCTCATTCATCTCTCATTTAATTGCTCTAGAACTCTCCCTCTCGCTCTCGATCTCTTGATTATTTGCTCTTAGTGTAAATCAAACACATTTGTGGAGTCGTTTAAATATGTTGGATTTTAAACTGTCATACATTTTTTTTCATCGATAGACTGTAATTGGAACCATAACTCTTATTTATTCAAATTGTATTAATATGTAAAGACCAAATATAACTTACATCATCGTTAAATCTTCTCTAATAAAACCAGTGAAACTTCAAAATCATTAAAATTCACGGTTCCCGCCGCATTACGCGGGTACACAACTAGTTTAGTATAAGTCAAAAGTTATCCATTTAAGTAGAATTTCATTTAAGGTCATTTTTACTGACCTTAATGGATAAGATTCTAGTAGGTCAAAACATGTATCATATTCAACAATTTGCCTAAGAACTGTGTAAGACTCATCACTTTTAATTACCGAATAAAACTTTCGGTCATTGTCATGGCTCTTACCGAATAAGATTTTTGGTCCTTAACATATTAATCCGATATGATAACTGATCTGACAAGTACTTATTGGATAAACGTCTAATAAACAAGTCCTTAAAATTTATAACTAAATAACCCATAAGAAAAGGTCGAGACTGTAAAGATATTTTTGATTTCCCATAGGGTATATTTAGATATACTAGAAAGGTACTCGTACAATTCAGCGAGATACATATTGAGTTTAATATTTCATTTTATTCTTTATTACAGTCGATGTTATAAAAACGATGATGTTTTTATTTTTGAATAAAATATAAACTTGAAGATATCATAAAAATTTGACAAAAATATATTGATATTAATATCAAATTAACTATTTAAAATTCTTCATTTTTTGTATAACTTTTAATTCAATTTTTTAATTATAATTCAATTTAGGTTTAATAACGAAGTAATTTATATTTGGTTTAATAATATAATTTTCTTATAATGGTAATTATTTAGTTAGAACTCGATAATTATCCTAATTATATTTTAGATTTTTTATATTTTAAAATGAGATGTTTATCCTCTATTTAATTATGTTTATCCGCAGTCAGTTACACGAATTCAAACATGAAGCTTTAATAAGTTGTACTTATGCATAATTTACTTGTAATCTCGAATTTTAAGTAATATGTATCAATATACAATACTTTATGCATAAAAATGATTTTTAAGAGTTTTTATCAAATACTTTATAATATAGTATAGATAACATTCATATGAACTTGGGATCTGTAACAAGTGACTGCTTTTTTGGTGGTCCAAATTTATCGCTTCGAAATCTAAACTGATTCCTCCACTTAACACTCTTAAACGATATTTCTTATGTCACTCGTGTGCCCCTTTGCATGAGGGCAATTTTGTCTTTTTATGTCTACATTTAAAGTAAATTACATTTTTGGTCTCTCGTCTATGATTGGTTTTTTGGTTTTAGCCCCCACAATTTGTAATAGTTACAAAGTGTAGGGACGAAAACCAAAAAACAACTATAGACAAGAGACAAAAATGTAGTTCACTCTTTAATTTATTCTTAAATCCACAACCTCTTCACAAGTTTTAAAATGCGTTCTTATATATGAAAATTTAACTTTCATATACAAGAATGCTATTAAACTTGGTAGAAGGTTATGCTTAGGGCTATGAACGAACCGAACGTTCAACGAACCGTTCGTGAACCATTCGACGGGAAGTTCGTTTATGTTCGTTTATTTAATAAATGAACGGACATGAAGATTTTTTTTGTTCGTTTAGTTAAACGAACGAACATGAACAAGAGTCTCGTTCGTTCATTTATGTTTGTGAATGTTCGTTTACGTTCATTTATATCCATTCGTTTATGTTCGTTTATATATTAAATTTAATATATATATTTTTGTTTATTTACTTGAATTCAAATAATATTTATTTATGTTCGTTTAGCCCTTTCGTTTAGCATGTTAACGAACGAACATAAACGAACACGAATACATCTGATTTCTAAACGAACAAACATGAACACAGAGATTTTCGTTCGTTTACCGTTCATGTTCGTTCGTTTGTTCGGTTAAGTTAAACGAACGGACATGAATAAGCCTCCGTTCGTGTTCGTATACAACCCTAGTTATGCTAATAATAAGTCTCTTTTAAAGTTATTAAGCAAAATAGTCTTTTAAATTTGAGTTGGGTGTGTCCATGAGAATCTTGATAGAAAATAGAGATTTTAGAGAACTGATCTTTCTTTAGAAAGAAGAGAATATAGAATATTCTTACGTCTTGTTTGGTTTGCAGGATTAAATAGGATTTTTGTAGATTTGGAATTAAATTTCGTTCCAATCATATGCTTGTTTTAAACGAATGCTTGAAGAGAAATGAAACAAAAGACGTTATAACTTGACCACTTGTGTTGTGGCGCACTAGTTAAGTCTCAAGGGGATGTTAACGGAAAATCTCATCTACCATGGATTCAAATCCAGGCACTATCAAAGCCCTTGTTGCCATAGAAGTTCACCAACGACGACTTCAGGCCATTCGTGATACGTTGAAATCCGAAAGTTTGATGGAATTGAATGGAATTGAAATGGTCAATTCCCTTGAACGAATTTCATTTATCCGTCTGTTTCATTCTTTGAGTTTTGATAAGGAATTTGGGATGTAAATTTCTTGGGTTCTAGCAAAGAATTTCGATTCCTTCATCCCATTCTTTTAAGAAAAAATATTATATTTTTATATTTACTCAATTTCATTCCATCACCACCATCGTCTATCTCCACCGCTGTTGTTACCATGGTCGCTTTTATCCATACCATCATTATCACCGTCGCCTTCACACCTAGCACCACCACCATCACAGTCATCGCCAATATTACCACCACCGCTAGCACTACTACCATCAACACCATTACCGCCTCCGCTCCACCACCACTATTATATCCAACAGACCAAAAAAAACAAATTATGAAGGGATGTTTTGGTAATTTACCACTAGATTATTATAATTTTGAATTTATATTTAACAAACCAAGCAAAAAAATTGTAACTTTTTTGACAAATTTCATTTCAATTCCTGTCAATCAAACACATAATCAAAAACGATTGAATTCTATTCCAATCCTGTGACAAATTCCAATTCCCATAGATTCCATTTTGTAAATAAAAAACCACCTAACTCTTAATGCGTTAGTGATTTACTGATTTAACTTGTGAGATGTAGAATTTTATTGTATAGCTCTCCGAAAGAACCCTCGAATCGAAAATGATTTTTTTTATTAACCTAGATATCCAACCCGCCATGCGAACCGACTAATTCCAAGGCGACCACCTGTTTTGCAAGTAGCCCGGAGTCACTGCATTTGAACCTCCGTGGCCACAAAGAGGATTTTTGTTCCTTCTTAGATTTGAACATGAGACCTCCAGACACTTTTGACCTTTGGAGTCAAACTCAAACCAATCAGACACCACCCTTGTGGTTTCGAAAATGAAATTTCCAACATATATTGAAGATAAATTATCGAATTCCAAATTTAACCGAAGTAAAACTATAACATTATTAGAAAAAAATGTACCAAAATGCTTTACAAAACAGTACAATATTTTTGCCCATGACTTCATATCCAACCAGTGGGCCCTAGTAAAAACCACAGCCAATGAGAGAGCAAGGATAGATTTCAACCAAAGAAAGTGGGCCCCACATTAAGGGAGAAGAACCTATACAACAGACTGGAAGGGGGAAATCAACCAGAATTTTGGAGCCACAGAGTATATATGTGGCTCTTGATGCTTCTTCAAACAAAAGGTTCTCAAACTTACACCAAACCCACAAAATCATCCCTTCAAAATAAACACAAACAAACCCCAGTAAAGTAACCAATTCCCATCACAAATCCCACAAAACCCCCCCTCCCCTCTGAAGATTATTCATTTTTATGGCAACATCATCAGTTACTGCCACAGGGTTTTCTTCTTCCTTCCATGGAAGTTGGGGGACTTCCATAGCCGGTGAAGATTATTCGACCCTGGTGGCAAAGACTAAACCCACTAGGGTTCGAGTTGGGAAGCCGTTAAGATCTGGACCGATGATGGGAAACGTCAATGAAGGAAAAGGGCTTTTCGCTCCGGTAGTTGTCGTCACTCGTAACATCGTTGGAAAGAAGCGATTCAACCAGCTTAGAGGAAAAGCAATTGCTTTACACTCACAGGTACCATATAGACCCACATCTTAAATACTTGTTTCTTTGTAATACATCTACTCAAACTATTGAAATTGCAAGAATACGTGGAATCCCGTTAGATTTCTCTCCAAAAAAATGTTTCAAGAAAGGAGATTCCATCATATATTGTGGAGAAATGGTCCAATTCTAGCCGACTTGGGACTCTAACACATCCTCTCCAATAGAGGCTAGACGGGCACAGATCGCCCTAGACTATCGAGTCTCTAGAGTGGTAGACTACGGCTTTGGTACCCGACTGGTCTACTTCTAGTCGATGTGAAACTAACAGAAACTATTGAATTCAGTACTCTCTTAGGTTTAGATACATGTTTCTGCAAGGCTTTTACTTCATCCGGATTTGCTAGTCGAGATGTTCAATCGTTCTAAGAAAAAATTGCAAACTAAAGGGAAAAGGAAAATAGCTAACCTCATAATCTTGTAGAACAAAAACACACCCTGCAATAAGAATCTTGGATACAATAAAACTGTCAAGATTATTAGAATTTCAAACAAGTATATATCAAATTTTGATTCTAACCTCATGAATGAACATCATGGTTTTCAGGTAATCACAGAGTTCTGCAAATCAATAGGGGCGGATTCAAAACAACGGCAAGGGCTGATTCGTTTGGCAAAGAAGAACGGAGAAAGACTCGGATTCCTAGCTTAGAAGTGCAGTTTGAAGATCAAAGATTCCAAGTTCCAGGAGAAAGTTGAATTTTACATCCATAGTATGTATTAAGAATTTCCAGATGTAAATACTTTCCTCATCTGGTTCCAATCAAACATATAAATCAAATTCATGTATCCCCCATCATATTCACTTCATATATTGTAGCTTTAACATCATATGAACCTGATCACTATTGTCACAGTAGAAACTTAAAGTGTTAATAAGGATGTGTGGCTACCTGATGTTGTGAAGTATGTCCATCAGTATCAAGATGCTTTTTTGTTGATTGAACACATTACCAGATACTAGCATGGTACACTTGAGGCCCTTGATCTGCAACTGCAAGTGCTGGTTAGTTTAACAAAGGAGACTCGAATATGTTAGATCTCAAGAGTTATTTGATCATAAATGACAGGATAAAATCAATTGGATGGCGTATTGTCTGCTTTCCAAATATACTAATTTGACTGTATTAGCCTTGGGTATCATGAATTGAGTATTGGGATAATCCAATGCATACTCTAATCTTAAAGACGGTAAACACGAGTTCCTTATATACACCCATATTCCATGTTTTACATATTTTATATGAGATCAACGGTTGTAACACCCAAAATCCTAAATGGGTGCCGTTACTTTCTTTTGATACTACTAGGTCTTATATGCGAACTAAATTTAACTTTATTTCTTTTATATCTTACTATTATATAAGAGTTGAAACATCAATGTAAACGTAACTCAAGAGCTTAAACAAAAATTGCTATTTATTAGAATACGTAAGCTTTAAGCTTTACTGAGTAGTTCTAGTTTCATGAATAAACAATTTTCATAATACTTATCAATTTGTGAGTAATAATTCACTAAAACGCTATATCATGCATAAAAATACTCTTTTGAAATCTCAATTGCGACATGTAAGTATGCCATAATTGTCTTGAGGTTTGCTAACCATGGGGTCCATAAAGGTTGGCCCATAAGGTCCATTTGCAAGACGTCCCTTCATTCTATATCCCGTAAGTTGAATATTTAAGGTCATAGATAACATGCATAAAACTTTCATGCCTCATGTGTAAGATACATATAAATTGCATATATTGGCTATATAAATGTATTCTTATTTCATGTAAAGCAAACATGCCATAACATCTTATCAAATTCTTCATAATGCATAAAATACATTTATATAGCATATATGTATCTCTATAAATCTTATAACGTACTTATCTTGTTTTGAGCTTACTTCTTTTGATTTCTCATCTCGAACTTGGTATTATATTGAGAGTGTTTTCTTACTTTGGTAGGGAAATAATGGTTTCATTTCTACCACTATTTATAGGTAATTACAATGCATTAACTACTTGTTCTTTTTGCTCCATGATTGTGCTCTTACGAAAGTTTAACACCTCATGCTTAAAATAAAAGAATCTTGAACCACGAGGGTGGTGCCTGATTGGTTTGAGCTTGGGCTCCAAAAGTCAAAAGTGTCTAGAGGTCCCAGGTTCAGATCCACGGAGGAATAAAAATTCCCTTGTGGACACGGAGGTTCCAATACGGTGACTCAGGGATACCTGCAATTGCAGGTGGTCGCCCTGAGATTAGTCGGCTCACATAACGGGTTGGATATCCAGTGAATAAATAAAAAAAAGAATCTTGACACATGATGCTTTTAGCTTTTATTTGTGATGCTTACTAGGCTTGCTTTGTCATCAATAACTTTGCCAACACATGCTTCCGGCATTGACAACTCATAACTAGCTTGCTTTGTCATGCTCGCTAGACTTGCTTTGTCATCAATAACTTTGCCAACACATACTTCTAGCCTTAGCAACTCATAATTAGCTTGCTTTGTCATAGTTACTGGGAATGCTTTGTCAAGTATTTAGATTTGATTTTTCATGTTATTTAAAATATGATGATCTAAAATTAGCCAATTTTGCTGGAGCCCTTTTAGTGCACTTAATTTGATCTACTTGTATTTAAGGCTCAAAATGTTGAAATCTAACAAATATAGAAACTAGGGTGTTAGAAAGGCTATGGGCGGGTTAACATGCAACTGCACAACAGTTACAGCGGCTTATGGATAAGGTTGAAACGGATAAGAAGCGGAGGCAGAAGGCTCAGAAGCTCCAAGCCAGAAGCCTTCTTAGCCAGACCCCGCAAGGGGGCGCCTTGAACCAGGCCTTATGGCGATCTAAAGTGATAGATGCAACATTTGTAAGTGTGCACTCTGCACCTCCTAACTCCACATCTCCTAACTCACGTTATGTATGCCTTTTCACCTAGTCGATCTCTTGTAGTTCACAATTACACAATCACACCAAAATAGCTTGATATACTAAAATCACCAACAGGCAGTTATAGGAAACATAATATAACATACTTCAGTTTGTACACGAAATCAATGTTGAAACACATAATGTCATCATACAATGCATCCAAATACAATATCCTAAGTCCTAACCGTAAAAGACTAAGTCAATAATTTGAGCGTGTACAAAACGCTTCAATGGAATTGAAATTCCCAATTTTCTTCTTGCATCTTCTGCAACAAGCAACTGATTGGGGGAAGAATTCCATGTGTATCATATCAACTACATATCATCTAAATTCTATAGAACATGGTATTCAGCCTCATGGTGATATTTGCCTATGAAAATGTTGAAACCCGCGGGGTGCGATCAAATTAACTTGTAGATATGGCAAATTCCAAGAGAGAAAACGATTTCTCCTAAATTTTAAGTGCACAATCAAGCAATTGGAGTACCGAAATCAGTTAACTGATAAGTAGGGTTTACCACAAATAGAAATCCTATTCAACATCGAAGATTCTGCCAAACGCAACTGCATATTGAAACCAAACATCCTCTCGTATAACCTATGGAGGTGTTCCTGTAACAAATCCATCAGAGCTCTGCTCGAATCCACCGTCGATCCGTCATCGCCGGCAATAGACTTGAAACAAATCACTGGAGCAAGCAGTCCAATTTTAGTTAAGCATAAGCAATTAAGGGGCTATTAAGGGGAAATTAAGGGAGCGTTTGGGATTGCTTTACAATAGCTGTTTTTTAAATTATTTTAGTCTCGACATTGGTGAGAAGTTGTTTTCTGGTGTTTGGATAAGGAAAAAAATTATTTATATTAATATCAAACCGGTAATAAGTTGTTTTTGATAAGTTAATCTTTCATAACTTATGAAAAACTGTTTATTACCWGTTTACAATTTTAACCATATTTTATTTAACTTCGGTTTGATACCACATAAATTAATAAACACTTTAAAAAAAACATAAGTTGTTTTAAATAAGCAATCCCAAACACCCCCTAAGATCAAGTAAAAATACGTTTTTAATGATATATATATATATATATATATATATATATATATATATATATTTAGTAGATTATAAAATTTGTAATTGGGTAACTCAAATACACTTTAAAAATGCTTTTTGTTATAATTAAAATTATATTGTCTTACAAAATATAGCGAGAAACTGAGAATTATGAATGTTTTTTTTTTTTTGCGTTTTTTGTGAATCGAAAACTTGATATGTAAACCCCTAAACCAAGACACCTATATATGGTGTTTAAAAGACAAAAAATACAAAAAAAGCCCAAAAAACGATGATAAACAGCTAGTTTTTTGAAAAATAACGACTACATTTAAAAAAACAGCTACATTTTTTTAAAATTGGGTTGGGTCGGGCCAGACTGAGCCGGTCCATAACTGATCCCTAACCGGTCCCGATCCCACAAAACACAACAAATCCATAACTGGACCTAAATTTTGGCCCTATAATAAGTTCTTACCGATCCCAAGCCGGTCCTTGACCGATCCCAATCAACCTACAAACCTGGGTCGGACCGGCCCTGTTTGGCAATCACTAGTTTTGAAATACATATACGTTCGGTATGTAGATGGCGCTATTCCGGTGTAACAGGCCCATGACCTTCCATTAATGGGCCCTAAGCATTTATGTGGGCCGGTTGGCGGGTATATACGTGGAACGGTGGAAGAGAGGAAAGGGCACGTGGAAGAGCAGCGAAGAGAGTAAGCATCATCTCCATCTCTTCCTCAAGCGGTTTAAGACAGAAGTATCATTCAGACGAAGAAAGCAACACACAGTAAACGAAGAACAACAGAAATGGCATCGAAGGGGATTGCAGCAGCCGATGGCACTTCCTTGACACCGGAGGCGGAGTGTGAACCGTTGACTTATGAGAGGAGAGTCCGGACGGACTTGGAAACTCATCTTCCTAAACCTTGTATGTTGTTACTTACTTCATCCTGAATGCATATCCAGATCACGTATGATTTTTAGGAAGAATTTGATGATGATGATGATGATTATATTTTGTGCGTGTGTTGTTACTTGAACTTCATCCAAAATGCATATCCAGATTTCGTGTAGTTTTTGTGAATTGTGATCTGTGCGTGTGCTGTTACCTCATCCAGAATGCATTTCCGAACTTCCTATAATATTATGAACAGTTCGATGATGACGACGACTCCGACTCTGTGATGTGGTGTTAATTGAACTGTTGGAAAATTTGAAATATTTGATGATGATGATTTTGTACGTGTGTTCTTACTTCTTCCTGAATGCATTTTCGAATTTGTATAATTCTTATGAACAGTTTGACGACGATGATGATTTTGTACGTGTGTCGTTACTTCATCTTGAATGCATATCCAGGTTTCGTTTAATTTATGTGAACAATTCGATGATGATTTTGTGCGAGAATGATTTTCAGACTTGGCGAGGGGATTGGTAGCTCCAGATACAGAGCATCCAAACGGGACGCTAGGGCACAGGCACCACGATATGACTGTTCTCCAGCAGCATGTTGCCTTCTTCGATCAAAATGGTGACGGAATCATTTACCCATGGGAGACCTATGCCGGTGAGCTAGTTTTGAATACCATCGTCCTATGAATAAATCAACATTCTATTGAATGCTAGTTGAGTTGATCCTTTTGTCTGAACATGTTTCACAAAGGAAATTATGATCGATGATCCCCTTTTAGCTTCAAATTCGGATTAATTACTTGCTATTGACTCATTAGTCATTATTAAAGTCGCTGAATCTTATTGATTTTTTCTTGTATGACGTCTCTAATTAAATATACAATAAGAATTATGCATACAGGTTTAACAATATGAATCGACATACTGTGTAGGAATGCGTCAACTAGGGTTCAACATCTTAATATCCCTGTTGGCAGCCATCGTTATCAATATAGGGATGAGTTATCCCACCCTCCCTGTACGTTCTTCGTCTTTCTCTGACCCCAAATACACTCCTACATCGAACCATCTTTTAATGGATGTATTTTGCATGAATTTTGTAGGGGTGGTTGCCTTCGATTTTCTTCCCCATATACATCCAAAACATACACAAGGCAAAGCATGGAAGCGACTCAGCAACTTATGATACTGAAGGAAGGTCTGTACTCTGTCCTTGTCCACCTGAAAATAAGTGTTGGCTCTGTTCTGATTTTTGTACTGAACCTAATGCGTTCTTGCAGATATATGCCTGTGCACTTTGAGAATATCTTTAGCAAGTATGCTCGAACAGTGCCAGACAAGCTCACACTTGGAGAGATTTGGAATATGACAGAAGGGAATCGACTAGCGTTTGATTTCTTTGGATGGTTAGTTCAAATCAACCCTTAATTAGCTTTTCTTTCCAACACTATATCCTTCTAAATTTAGTTCAAAGTGATACTTGGAGGAGTGGTTTTATTAAGGTGGACCATGTCAAATCACATTGCGTGAGGTGAACCATCTAGAATCATATTGCGTTTAAGATTAATTACTTTAGTGTGGAGAACCATCTAGAATCGGATTATTTTGGGAGTAATCTAACGAGCTTCTACCTTTTCTCATATGGATTATTTAGTCTTAAAATTTATGTCAATTCCCTGTAAATAGGATTCCTTGTCAGCCCTCTCTTAAGGAGAAAAGGTTATAGTGTGACTTCCATTGTTAGGATCAATGGTGATGACTTCCTCTTTGAGGAAAAAATAGTAGAACAATGATGAAAGGAGAAGACATAAAAATGTTACCCACAAGTGTTGCAACCAATTCTTACCATTAAATCATCCGTAAAAATGGAAAAATTGGAGCAACATTCAAATGATCTTAGTTCAATAATCTTTGCATGCATCCTTTTCCTGGATCCTGTAGTAAATTAGTAATAAAGGAGAATCGAACACGATATTTGAAAAGATGGTTGTATATTCTTGGAGTATATACAAAATCTTTATATACATCAAAACATACACACTTGGACCTCTGTAAGACGGACTCATATTTTTTTCAGCAGTGGTACCATTTTACTATAAGAAACAAATGCAGGTATACCTTTAATAAAATCATCATTGGTCCGATGGTTAGTTCATTGTTTTTCATATGTGAGATTTTGTGTTCAAGTCTTTTATTGCACTTTTTTTCAAAAATATAATAAATCTGAAATTAAAAGTAAAAAACCAAGGATATGGCACTGACGGGACTCAAACTTGGGTCTGGAGTGGAAGAAAAGTCGTGCAAACCAACTCTACCAAAGAGGACTTCTAATCTTATCGTAGTTTCAAAGTATATACGGTGGTACACAACAAATTGATACAATGACATTTTCACGACATTATAAATTTTTACACTACGACCGAGGAACGAAATGGTGACACAGTGCAACCACAAAAACCCCTTGGGTCCTTCCCTGAACCTCTGACCTCTAGGAATGAGATCTGCCTGTAATCGCTTGTCCAAATGAACCTTTGTTGATGGTCACTCTCTTTTGACAAGAAAATCAAATAAAACACGAAAGGATTATATTCAGTGGTAAGTTCCCGGTTGCAATGCAGGACTGCAGGGAAGATGGAGTGGGCGATATTGTACGCACTTGCTAGGGATGAGGAAGGTATGTTGTCGAAGGAGGCGGTCAGGCGGTGCTTTGATGGCAGTTTGTTCGAGTATTGCGCCAAGAAAAACAGGGCGGCTGTATACAACAAGACGTATTGAACAAGGTGGTGTCTCTAAAAACTATATGCATGGTGTTAACTAAGTTGTGTGTTGGTAGATTGTTGTTATTATATGTTTTTGTGGTTGGGAGGTTAGGTATATAGAGAAAATAAGACTGTAAGAAAGATGTTGCCTCTTTTGGTTAGAATTAGTGTGTGTGTGTGTACATATTTGTGGTGTGGTCAAGTTGGTGCTTATGTATCAAAATATATCAAAAAGGGAGAAAAATTAATGAAAAATTGTGGGGGTGTAATGGTAGTTGATTCTATAAATGTAAATGTATTAAGTCTGATCTTTGCAAATATATCTTTCATGTTATTATTTTTTGTTGCAAAATTGTAGGGTTGGAGATTCTTTGACAGTTGTTAAATGATTTGGTACGAGATGATTAAGTGGTCAACAAATTAAGAAGCGTATAAAATGAAATTAAGATTTTGAATGGTCTAGGGAGACTCGAGATATAATGTGGAGGGTTTTAGATTCAGATTTTTTTTTACTAAATAAGATTCATTTCTTGATGAAATTATTAAGAAAAGCTCTTATAAACTAATGTAAGGGGACGTTTATTGAACCCTTACTTGGTAAGTGTTTATCGGATAAATTTTCTCATTAGATGAATATGAGAAGGGCCACGAATCTTATCGGGTAAGAGCGATAAAAAAGATGGAGAGTTGTACCCGGTAAGTGAGGATGTCGACTCTTACCCTGTAAATAATTGCATTCGATATGTTTTGATGTACTAAAATTTTACATATTAAAATAAATTATAATGTTGATTCATATCAGTAAACACTCACCGGGTAAGTATTTGGGTAAATGTGTATACCAAAAAAAATACCCTTTTGAAATCAAGTCGTTGTAAGCCTCAAAAAATTCTTGCAACAACGTGTGTGTGACAGCACGAGACCCGATTGGCCCTTAGTAGGTCTGCGACCATGGTTCGTGTTGTCTTATTTGAAACTTGTTTAAACATCATGAAAACTTGTAAACTGGCTACCAATGCTAGTGGCCGACTTTAACCGATGCTAGTGGACGAATTTAAGGGATTATTTATTTAATGCTTACCTTAATCAGCGGTTACCAAGTAATATTACCTTAACCAGTGAATATGGCAAGAAACCAAGAATTACGGTAAGAACGAAGGTAGTGACTGAGAATCTTATCCGGCAAGAGCGGAGATAATGACTGAGAATCAAACTCGGTAAGTGAGGACGACCGGCTCTTACCCGGTTAGCTCTTACCGATTAAACTTTTGCATACAACGTCATTTTAATAAACTAAAATTTTACCCGATAAGATAAGTGATAGTGTTAATTTAACCGATAAACACTTATCGGACAAATGTTTAGGTAAAAAGCCCCTAAGAACGAGTCCGGTCAAAATCATCCACATTTAAATTAATGTAATGAGGAATTTGCTTAATCATTAAGGACTAAGGTAGGTAGTGATTTGTAAGAAATAGTCATTTTAACTATACCCCTTCCATTATTAACGACACATGTGTTGAATTTTTTTTAGAATAAGGTTCAGTTTTTTCCGTACGAAATGTATCATCAAATATTCAAAGAGAATTGATATATGTCATATTCAAAGTTGGAAAGAGAGGGAATAACTCAAATAAGGAGCTGTTTGACAGTTGCTGAATGGTTTGGTGCAAAATGATTAAGTGGTTAGAATGATTAAAAGGCTCTCATGATATAGTGCAAAATGAAATATAATTATTTGGTAATTATTTACAACGAAATTAGGACGCTAAATGGTTAAGACTTAAGAGAGGCACATGATACAAAATCATTAAGAGACAGACTTTTTTTTCGCCAAACAAGATTCACCTCTTAACGATTCAAATGTTGCATTTTAATGAAACTATTAAGAGGTAAACAAACAACCCCTAAATTCCATTCTAGATGTAGGAGGAAAGGGAATGAAAGAAATTAAAACTCTTTAAAAAGATTATTAAAATTACAAAACTATCCAATATTTCATAATAAAAAATATATTTTTAAAAGGTATATTTTCAAAAAAGACATATTTTCTTTCCTTTCTCTCTTATTCAAGAACATGATTTTCCCACTATGCAAGCCGACTAATCACAGGACGACCACCTGCTTTGCAGATAGCCCAGAGTCACTGCATTTGAACCTCTGTGACCACAAGAGGATTTTTATTTCTCCATGGATTTGAATCTGACTTCTGGTACTTTTGATCTTTGGAGCCAAACTCAAACCAATGAAATACCACCCTTGTGATTATTACCTACATCTTTTAGCCCACAATAACTACATATAATTGGTTAGTTATGTTCTAAAGTAAAAAACAAAACTAAATTAGGGAGAGCAGACGACGATAGTGTGACGAAAGAGTTGTGTAAGGGGTTTTGAATGACGTAGGGTTTATGAAGGTAAGACTGATTTATTTATTTTAATTTAAACATTTACATTTTTGGGTTAAAATAATATATAACTAATTTCTAGAAGTTTGATTATTTATTTATTTAAAAAATAATGCTAAGAGATTTAATCATTCAAAATTGAAAAATTTAATGAATTATTTAAAAGATAAATAAAAAGCGTTTACTGGGTTTTTTTTTTTAATTTTCTTTTATTTTTTATAGTATGCTTCCAACAAAATTTTTAAATGTTCTTTTAAAATAGGAAAAAGTACAATAAAAACCAATGGACTTTCTTGTTTGGAATGATTAAGTCTTTGGACTTCTTTTTGGAACAAATAAGTCACTGGACATTCCAAAACATGTTAAATAAGTCCTTGGACAATTTTTTGGAACAAATAAATCTTTGGACATTCCAAAATATGTTAAATAAGTCATTGGACAATTTTTGGAACAAATAAGTCATTGGACATTCTAAAAAATGTTAAATAACTCCTTGGAATCCAAAACATGTTAAATAACTTCTTAAACTTTTATAAAACATGTTTGATATATTCTTATGACTTGTACAACTAGTTAAAGTGGTAAAATAGTGAAAAAAATCCGAAAATATATTTTGTCAGTGATTTTTGAAACTAAAAAAAATAAAAAAATTATAAAAATATTATTTTTAATTAAAATAAATTTCACCAGTAATCTTTTTAAATCTTTTTTTAATTTAAAAAATCACATACATGATATATATATATTTTTAATTAAAATAAATTTAATAATAATTATTTTTTTTTGTTTGAAAAATCACTAACAAAATATATTTTAATTTTAATTAAAATAAACTTTA